GATACGTTTGAATGTGAACAAGTGAGAGTGAAATGATTTGCTTTATTTGCAGCTAGATTTTACCTGCCTACACCGTATTGGTCTAGACAAAAGGTTTGATGTGTGTGTTCTTAAAACGGCCAAGAGCAAGTCCCATGGTCCTGTTATAGAGTGCCCTTAACCAAGTTTTGTTTGTTTTAATTTTTCAGGCATTGCCCCAAGTTAGAGCATGTTAGAGCAACTGATTCCATGTGCTTGACAGCTTGCACTGAGAGAAACAAAGTCTTTCTCTCTCATGCACCTGAACAGTAGAGGCAGATGAAGCACACGCCATAGAACGAAAGCATCAGCGCATGACACCACACACCGGCCCAGAATTCCCTGCGCTTCCAGTCCAGATGCCTCTACAGGAGGCGGCTGCCCCCCCTAATCCTTACATCATTTTACATCAAGACCTAGCCCTCGTGACAGACAACTGGGGGGAAGGGATTGACGTCATTGATGCCATCCTTCTTAATGATTGGCTATTTGCTGGCAAACCAAATTGACATGACTTGTATAGACCCCTAAATAGATAGAAATGTAGATCCCAAATTAAAATGTTTTGGACACAGTTTCTATTTGGGGACCACTATATACAATAGCTATAGTATGTTGGAGTCGTATCCTGGTACTGAATCTTCGTGGCCAACGCATTTTTCCAACCTTGAATCACATTCTTTGAATTGACACGAACAATTGCTGCAAAACCTGCCAAAGAAACGAGTTCCAGCAACACCTGGTACATCACCAAAAACATCTGGGAGGAAATGGTTTGTCAGCATCTCACTGGTGTAAACACCGACATCTCATAGGTCTCTGATAGTGTCTCTGACATCTCGCTGAAAAACATCACCCAAAGCCGCATCTGGTCGCGTCCGCTATGACCCATGCGCCTTTTGGTCGGTCCGGCGGACCGAAGCGGTTCGGATGCGGTGCCGAGTCGGATGCGCGTTCGTCCAGTCTTTTTGAGGCTTCAGCCGAAACAAAGAAAAGAGCCCACCCATGTTTGATCATGTTTGGAGTTCATGCTTTTAATAGAGGTTCAAAAGATTTCACAAGTATAACTTGGATGGACTGGAGCCTTTTCGTTGATGGCTGTGGGTTGACTTGACCCAAAGAGGTACAATGAGTGAAGAGATACGATGTGGATGAACATCCTTAGTGTTGATGGTGTTTGCTGTTGGGGTGAACCATCTGCACTACCCAGTTTTGAACGTTGAAGGGTCTGGATTCATCCAGTCATGTTTCCTTCTTTGGCACCCAATGGTTCAACAAAATGGTTGCAGCCCGAATCTTTGCACCCCAAACCTGACCAGCTTTGCCGGCATGGAGTGGCAAGAATTTGAAGATTGAGGAAGCTCTAATAACATTCCCAGGTGACCAAGGAGTTTTGCTTTGTTTTCAGTAATGTCATCTAGACGACTCAGACGATAACATAAAAAGTGCAGTCTGAGGCATCAGACGTCTAGCTTCCATCCACAAACCAACAAGGTGGTCAGATCTAAAGACTGAAAAGTACACCAAACTTTTGACCCAACATACACTATAGCCAG